CAGAAAGAAACTTCCTCTGTCAGCCCATGTTCATGTTCTACATCACTTTCAAGATGTCCATGGGGATGTTGGAATGATATCACACAGCTCTCCATTTCTGGCTGCAGGCTCGGGAGATTCTTTCTCTGCATTCCCTGACAATTCCTGGGAGCCTGTCATGGTTTCTTAGGCTAGAGCAATAACAGTGAAAATCTCACCAATGGCAAAACTGCCCAGCCCACAAGGAAAAGAAAGAACAAGCTATAAAGTTCTTCAAATATTTGTCCCACTTTTCTGCAAGAGTCGAGCTGCACACACGGTGTGGAAAGCCAAGAGAAGCTGCAGCTGGTGGCACATCCTGTGCCAGAAACTGCTCAAAGCTTCCTCATTCTCCAGCAAAGGTTCTTGGAAAGAGCAAACAGGACTGTGGAGAAGATTCTGGGAAAACTGAAAGAGCTTTTAAGAAATGAAATGAAAATGGAAAGAAATAATCCAAGATGTTTTTCTCTGTTTATTTTTATGCTCCCCTTTTCCATCTTACACTACTTCCCCCTCCCATTAATTGCAAATGGATCTCACTTCTAAGATCCACAATTTGGCAAGTTTTAGACACTCTAAAATAGCATGAGCTACACACATTTTACCTTCCCCTGTTTTGTTTTTTTTTTTTCTTTTATTTTTGGAAATCAATGATGGATAGGTAAGTGCAGTTCTTGGGTCAGGTACAAATTCAGCATTCAGGGAATGTGCTCCGATAGCGTTTGACCCTCAGCAGGGACAATGCACAGCAGTGGCCGAGGGGATTCCTGTGCCCCTGGGCAGGAGTCCAGACTCTGGGTCTGGGCTGAACACGGCAAAGTTCCCGTGTTGGGACAGGCTCAGGGGCTGCCCGGGGAGCGCGGGGCTGGGCGCGGGGGCGAGCGGGCAGCGGACACACGGACACGGGGACACACGGACACGGGGACACACAGACACGGGGACACGGACACGGGGACACACGGACACGGGGACACATGGACACGGGGACACACGGACACGGGGACACACAGACACGGGGACACGGACACGGGGACACACGGACATGGGGACACACGGACACGGGGACACGGACACGGGGACACACAGACACGGGGACACGGACACGGGGACACACGGACACGGGGACACACGGACACGGGGACACACAGACACGGGGACACGGACACGGGGACACACGGACATGGGGACACACGGACACGGGGACACGGACACGGGGACACACAGACACGGGGACACGGACACGGGGACACACGGACACGGGGACACACGGACACGGGGACACGGACACGGAGCTTCAGCTGCAGCAGCAGCAGCGGCAGAGAAAGCAGCGAATTTCCCTCTCCCTCTCCCGCTGTCCCCTCCTCTCCCGCTCTCCCTTTCCCGCTGTCCCCTCCTCTCCCACTCTCCCTCTCCCCCTGCCCGGCCGGGCCATGCCCCCGGCCCGCCCCCGGCCCCGGGCGGGGCTGCCCCGTCCCCGCCCCCGCCCGCCCCGCCGCGGTCTCGCCTCCGCCCGGCTCTGGGCGTGCTGGCGGTGGCGCTGCTGGGCGGGCATCAGTGCCTGGGGCTGGGCCCTTTGGCTCCGCCTGGCCCGAGCCCGGCCCCGGCCCCGCCGTGGGCTCCGGTCCCGGCCCGGCCCCGGCTCCTCCCGGGCCCCGCGGAGGACACAGCGGCGCGGCCGCTGCCGCCTCCGCCGCGGCTGCCCCGGCCCGAGCTCCGCCGCTCGGCAGCGCGGCCGCCGGCCCCGAGCCGCCGCTGTCCCGGGGCCGGCAGAGAACGCCTGGGGATGGCCGGCCCGGGGCGCTCGGGGTTCCTGTCCGAGGAGGAGGCGCGGGGGCTGCTCCGCAGGT